TAAAGGCAATCTGCAAAGAATCTGCAGAAAGAGGGGGCTCAGTGCCTTACAGTCTCCATGGGAGGCTCAAAACCATTGGCTCGTTCTCCTATCTGCTTGTTTGCTAAAAATACCAAGAATTTTGCTTTCTGTGACTTCCTTGAAAAGCTAACGAACTGCCGGTAACTGAAGAGGAAAGAACAAATCTGACAAACTGACATCTTTCTGCTTGTTTGTGGATCAGGAGTTCGGTTTTCATGTAAGCAAAACGTAAAGAGACTAACAAACCTCTTCTTGCTCTGTCTGCTGAGGCCTTGCTTTTCTAGGATAAAACATCCTACTGATTGCTGTCCACAGGATTGCCCAAGAAAAAAGTGAATAGATGAAAGATGAAATTTCTGAAGGAAAAAAGGTAGAGCAGCATTTTTAAATAGAAGATTGACTGTAGACTGAGGAATACGGCATTGTTCTTTCCCTTGTGTGGACTGTTATTAAATTCAAAGGTTCTGTCTCTTCTTGTTTTCCCAGGACTGCTAATTTAGTCACTCAAAACTATGACTTCTTGAAGTAGCCTTAAAGATTACTGTTCTTGATCTTAGATAAATCATTCTTATAAAGTTACATTTTCCTTAAGTTCCTTAATCATCTTGATAGTTCTGATGCTGTAGTATTTTGACCTCAGGGATGCTTTGCTTTTTGTTAATTTTGATGGCCACCATGTAGTTTTGACCCAAAATTGTGGGTTCATGATAACTGAGTCTGATTAAACTTAACCCCCAAAGCAGCATCTCTGAGACACTTTTACAGATTACACCTCCCCTAGTGTGTACCTTCTACAGTATTTAGCTTTCAGTGTTATGCTTATGTATAAGAATCCCACACAAATGGAGAGAAAGGCATAAATTGGAAAGTAACAGTGTTTAAAAAAACCTCCAAGCCTGCACAATGAGAAAACAAACACCCGCACATGCACATCCCCTGCCACAAAATACCCTCTTCTCAAATAAACCCCTTCTGTAACAGTCCTTGGACTTTTGATGAAAGCTGAGATACAAATGTGTCCTTGTCATACTGGCTTTTTTTTTTTTCCTCCAAATCTTTTGGATTGTAAAGTAAACTTTAATACTGATTCGTTGTTTTTTTTTTTTCTTTTTTTTCTTTTTCCTCTCCACACAGTAATTTACATTTTAGGAACAGGTCAAGGAACACACATAGTTTTCATTCAGACTTTGTTTTTCTCTGGCATGTCTTCTGGCTTCTAAGAGAAATATTGTTACCGAACTGTAGATGTCAGTTGTGCCAATGCACACATACACTCCCTTTCTACGTTGTTTCCCATGAATCTTAATGTTCAAAAGCTCTCTAGTTGCTCAAAAAAATCCTACTTGATATAAAAGCGGTTGGTGCCTACCTTTTCTTTATTTTTTGTGTAAAGCGAGTTTGTTACACTAAAAAGGTTCCAAATATACTCTATGTGAAATTGAAATAAGCCAAGCATGATTTTATATATGAAAGCATCTCACTCAGCAAACTTATAATAGACCAACAGACACTTTCCTGTGCTTTCAAGTATGTTTTGATATATACCTCCTACAGTTTTTTAAGCATGAAAAATTGCTATGTATGAAGTTCTACTGACTTGGAAAATTAAAATTAAGGTCTATCCTTTAAGATAAGTATGATGTATTCCCTAAAGAAGGATGTTTTATGCATAAAACCTAGCATTCCTGTGCATGAGCGGCAGAGCTCTGAGACTATATTCACCCAGAGAAATCCAATTCTTTGCAGGGCAGACACCCATTATTTGTATGTCTTGACACTTAGGCACCTTTCCATTCTAAACCTTCTTCTGATATTTGCAACTTTGTAAATATTAAATAAAAGAAAAGTCTTTACCTTTTAATTTTGTGCTGGTGGTGCTCTGTTTTGTCCTTTAGAGAGGAACTCCTGAGGGTCAGCTTCAGTATAATCTGAAAAACATTGTTTTGAATATTTGCCGAAGTATTGTCTGGAGTGGCATTCCATTAAGTATTTTCTGCATGCCTGCTGCTTCTAGTTCTTAAATAGTTGTCCACGGGTTTGTCTTCAGGAGAGGTGGTGTGAGAGAGAAGCTGACTTCTGCAACTGGAGCAGACAGGCAAATTGATTACTTTCTACTTGGGGAATCTGGTTCTGCCTGTTTGAAACCCAGCCTTGCTGAGAGGCGGATCACTGCTGGACCTGCCCAGTTTCAGGAAGTGTCTAGGAGCAGCTCCCTAGATAGAGGCCTTGTAAGCTGAAAGTGGAGCACTGCCTACCTGTGAAGTGCAAGTGTAAGTGCAGAGATTGCTTGCTTCTGTGATGAAGCATGAAGGAAAAGGAAGCAAGGCTAGGTCATTCATACATTTACTTGAAAGGGGAATAAAAATCTAGGATTATAATACCCTATGTGACAGTCAGTACCTTAAAATATTTTAACTCATTTTATGAGTTTGACCTAAAGGCTGAAGCAGGACAGGAGTGTACAGCAGGAAATGTATGACCTGTGCTATACCACTTCAGTTCTTGAGGAGCATTTGGAGACAGCTATCTGGATGCACTGTTCTTCCAGATACAGCACCTTGACTGTATTATTATTATTTTTTTTTAATACAGTCAGTATTGGAAAAGGAGTACTGTGGAGAAAGTGGAAGCTAATTGACCAGAAAGACAAATCATATGCCTTTCAAGATATTAGAAGTTAAAAATCAGTAGCTACTGAAAGTTAGAGGATATTAGTGTCACACTCACACTGAGCTATGCAGTTTGCCAACATTTAATTCTGCTTCAGTTGTTCTTTGTAGAATGTGCAGTCCAATAACATAGTAAATATTGCAGTTATTTAATCTTGAGGTGAGAAAGGAATAGGCTGTGGAAACAAAGTCTGTGTTTGGAAATATTTTCTTCAATTAGATCAAGATAGGAATTGACAGCACTGCTGAGGAATGCTTTTTGAGACTAGAAGGCAGTGCAAAAAGTTTTTTTCAGATTGTGACAAAGATAGGTTAAATGAAAAAAAAAAAAAAGTGGAGATAATTGTTTCCAGTCTTTTAATTACTTTCCATAGCTTTCTTGAATTTCATTTCAGTTTTCTGCTGTTTTAGCTTTGGTCCAGTTTCATAGCCTAATACTGAGTGAACATTACTTGTTTAGCTGGTTGGTGAGAAGGAATAGTGCCAGAGTATCAAAAGCATATTGAAAAATGCCATAGCTTCTGTATATACATTGAACAACAGTTAGGATATCTCTGCACTAAATCATGCAAAGTGTTGTAGAGTTACTGTTTTTACTGAGAAATGGGAATGGATTATCAAAGCAGGGTGGGGGTGGGAAAAGCCTTGTTGTGCCCTTTCTAGCTCTGCAGGCCAGTCAGCAAAGTTGATCATCAGTAGGATGTAGGGGTTTTTATTACCAAGCTGATGATAAATATGTGAACTGTTTGGACTGCAAATAGTTCTTAAGACTGATGAAGAATGAGGGTGGTGAGGCACTGGAACAGGTTGCCCAGAGAAGTTGTGGATGCCTCATCCCTGGAGGTGTTTAAGGCCAGGTTGGATGAGGCTTTGAGCGACCTGGTCTGGTGGAAGGTGTCCCTGTCCACGGCAGGGGGGTTGGAACTAGATGATTTTTGAAGTCACTTCCAACCCAAACTATTCTATGATTCTATGATAACAAGAGACAAACACATGACTTGAATACCCTTGAGGTCTTTTCCAACCTTTATGATTCTATGACTCTATGAGAAATCATGTTTCTTGAGGGTCTGAGAGTTGTATAAGGAATACACAAAACTTGACAAAGGGATCAAGTCAAAAAAGAGTTGAACACCTAGCCTTGAACACCTCCAGGGATGGGGCATCCACAGCTTCCCTGGGGAACCTGTTCCAGTGTCTTGCCCTGGTTTTGTTTGTCTGTTTAAAATATCATTTTGTATTTCTGTCTAAATGTCTCCATTTGTCACTAAAATTTGCTTGTAAGCAAACTAAATACTTAGGTGAACTTAACGCTTGTTAATCTTTTTCTGACATTTTCTACATATTGCTTCATATGCACTTTTCTTTTGCTTATGAAGATTTATTCTTCTTTGTATAGAATGCATTTACTAGGATAAATGCACGTTGCATTTGTCAGGGAATGACTGAGATTTTAGCCCGTTTTCCTAAAGAAGTGAGACATACATGGTCATGATGCCTATAATGCATCCTGCCTTCTTGGATGTTGACCTATTTAAATCTGTTTTAATCAAGAAATTGAGGTCTGAAGTATAGTCAAATCATGGATCAGATGCAGTTGTGGACTATGTGGAAGACAACTCTAATCAAGAATAACAGTAACGCCAAAAATTAAGACATTTATTTTCTTGAGTCTTCTTTCCTACTACACCTCCAAGAAATAAGGCAATGATGACTCTCCATACTACAGGATACTTATTTTGTAAGCTATGTGTTTTATATACAACTTTTTTTCTTTTCCTCTATTTAATAATAAAGTGTGGTTTTTAGAGCCATTCATGCCAGTTCTTCCCTCCAAGCTTTGAGTTTTACTTACAAAGAGCAAGTTCAAAGCATTACATAACAAGTTGTTTGGCATCCGAGAGAAGTTCTGGATAGCAGGGAGACCTAAGATGTTCTGGCAGTACATCTGGGGAAATGCATATGGCGTGGGAAGTTGTGAGGTTTTGGACTTTGATTCAGAGACTCCAACAGATTGTGCAGTGTAGCTTTAGATGTAGAATGGTATTGTCTTCTACATCCATCTTATTAGCTATATAATTGTTTTGTCTATGGGTGTTCAGTAATTATTTAATATTCGTAGCTGCTGAATATAGTGCATGGACTAACACGTTTATTAAGTAGAAAGAACAAATAAGAATTAAAGCTTAAACCAGGCATTTTCTCTTTACTTTCTCCTTCTCTTCCTACTTTTGTCAAAAACTTACCTTTGGGAGATGTCAGAAGTTCTTACATCAGGGTTCTAAGTGTTTCTTTTGATCTTTTCTTTAGGCTGGCAAATAAGCAGGACAGAGAAGGAGCTCTGCCAGAAGCAGATGTAATCGAATCCTTATCTCTGGAAAAGCTTGTCAATGAACACAAGTCTCAATGTCAAATTGTAAGTATATTTTAAGTTGCTTCATTTTCTTATATATATGCAGTGTTTGCAATAAGGTGGGGTATTGTGCCTCATCGTGTAAAACTGAAACTAGAACCCTGCAATCCCAGGAAAGATACAGTACATATATCTGTTTTGCAAGCAATTCTACTGTTCACCTTGATGTTCTGCTTATGGACCTGTCGAAGGAATCTTTATAACAAGGTTTTCAAAGTGTACCTGCTGGTCCAGTCTGAAACCGTGTAAGAAAAATTAATTGCTGATGTGGTTTAAAACTTTAGTTGGACAGCAAGTTTAGTATTCCACCTTTTCAAAAAAGAAACAGGAAATGGAATTTGCCTACACTGACATTTGGGAAGGACCACTGTTCACATGTGGTGTTTGTCTCATTTCTGTTCATAGCTAAAACCATCAGGGTGAGTTACCATCTGGCAAACAGTAAGAACTTAATCTAATTCCTAGTGCATCTAATTCTCAGCACAGTAGTCATCAAAGAATGCTGTTAGAGCTAGTTAATATCTGTCCTAAAATAACTACATTTCAGGTGTAGTATTCACAGTCATGTTAAAAAAAAAAAAAATAAAAAAGGGGAGGAGCGGGGAGAGAGAAGCCAAAAACAGAAATCTATATGAAGGCTACTTAATATTGGTCGATATTTCAGATAATTTATCCAAATCACTAGTCCTTGCAATTTTCTTTAAGCCTTTGTTTTAATCAGCCAGTTTGTTAGTTAACTATTTGTGATCTTTACTTTGATAATCTTTTTTCTAATTGCAATAAGAAACATTTTAAAAGATAATGAGAGTTATGCTGTTACTAACAAAAATTTAAAGGCAATTTTGTAAAACCATTCTATCTGGTATTTGGGTTTTAAAATTTAAAAAAGACTTTTAATTCTCTAGGGAGAGTTGCAAAATTCATAGGGTAGTACATATTGCTATTGTTTTCTCTAGAAAGTTAGGTTATAGCAGGGCAAAGCTATGTTCGTTATGTTATGACTCTAAGGGCTTTTCAGCCCGTAGATTTTGCGCTATGCATATATCAATAGTAACAATAAAAATTGCAAGTTCACTTTTTTTTTCCTGAGGGACTTCTATGGCAAAAACATTTTCTTGCAAAGCATTGTCAATATAAAAGACCTGAAAGATTCTAGTGTATTTTTCCAATACTTTAGAATTATTTAATTGATGACATGTTCCAGTAAAATCCTGTTCTCTTCGTGCATTTGTATCTTGGATGTAATCAACAAAGAAACTAGATCACATACTCTAAGTCATTTTATCTGGAAGCAGCTGGCAGTTTTATATACTCAAACAGGCAACTTCTTTACCAGGCTCATAAAAGGTAAACACGGTCCCAACGTATTTCAGTATGATGACTCATGGGGTGAATGTAAACACAGGCATTATGAAACAATTTTTAAATAAAATGAGGCAAGGACCTCATTTGTTCTTATTCTTATAATTAGTATTTTTCTGGATCTTTAAATTTCTCCACTAAATATTAAAGCAAATGGAAGGAGTCATTCGTCTCACTGTCACACAAGGTCAATGAGAATGTCCTTCATTGTTTTCTTTTTTTAATATATCTGTATATTCTGTATTTCTAAATCTCTATATTTGATAAATGAAATACAGTAATGATAATCTTTGTGCAAACCTAGAATAAAATTGCCCCAGTTCTGTATGTTGTTTTATCTTAATTTTCTCAGAGAAAAAAGGTATTATTGCCTATACATCTTTTCCTTGATTAGCTTCTGCTGGAGAATATTGTAATGTTCCATAGTGAACAACACTCATATTTGAACTTTAAT